TAAATTGAGCATGCCTACTTGAAATTTGATTGATTGTCCTGATGATTTGAAAGTGATTGGTAAAGAATGATTTTCTGTGAACTTCTGCCTGTTTTGTCTCTGATATGGTTATGTTATTGATTGTAATCCTGCTAGTGGGGGTTAAACGCTAGCACATGTCGACATGTTATTGATAGAACCGGTTCGTTCAAGTGTAGCCTACCAGTGGGAAGTTTAATACACTGGCCATGAATAGAGGAGACGTCTATTTCGTGCCCGTACTGTATCCGTTTTTTCGTTATTGTACTTGTTGGCATGCTATAAATTTAATAAGGGCACTCCATATATTACTTACTGAGTTTATCTCATAGTTTTTCCTTGTCCATCATTTAAGGAAGTGAAACCGAGGACGGGGAAACAACGAGAAGTGACGAGTTAGAAAGCTAGCCATTTTGGGATTGATATAGATTCTAGAAGTAAATCATGATCTTGTAAACCAGAGTGTATTTGGAGATTTATGTTATCGGAGTAAATTTTAAAGATTTGATCTTCAGATTTTGATGGTATCAGAGTGTGAATTTGATAGGTATCAGAGTGTGAATTTGATAAGTTTCGAGCCTTGTGCATTTGTGGGACCTATCTCACGAGTGCACGACGTCTGTCGTGTCTCGAAATTGGGTTTTGGGGCGTGACAGAAATGAACATTTTTGGTCCCTCAACAATTTTTTGCACTTTTTTGATCCCTCAACTATACGAAATGCACTCCGTTAGTCCTTCTATTAAATTCGATCATTAACTCGCTTATGTGGCATTTTTTATAATTTTTTTGATGGCGTGGCATAAACAAATTGAAAACGTGTTGATGTGAATTTTTTTTTCATGCCAACTCACATTATTAGTATTTATATTTTAAAAAAATAAAATAAAAAAACTCACGTTCATCTTCTTCCTTTCTCTTTTTCTTTTTTTTTCCTTCCTCTTCTTTCTTCCTCTTCTTCCTCGGGTCATTGAACCCAGTTGCTGGGTTCGATGGAACCCAGCCTGGGTTCCACCGAACCCAGCCTGGGTTCCACCGAACCCAGATCTGCTGGGTTCAGTGGAACCCAGAACCCAGCTCCATTTTTTTTTTTTTTTTTGTTTATATGATTGTTTGCCAAGAGATTATCCGAATTGCAGGTTGTTGTGAGGGATTTTTGGG